CGGCCGCCCTGCTCTCCTGGACCTTGGTCGGAGTGGTCGTGTTGCTCTTGTTCTCACGTTGCTGCCGGCGCCTAGCTGCCTCTTGTTCCTCCTGAAAAACAAAGTGTGGCCATGTCCCCAGACAGACTGTCCCCGCAGGGACCTGCCCCGGAGAAGGTCCACAGCCCTGGCCGCGCAGCAGCCTCCTAACTCCTCCTAAAGCCACACATGCTGGTGCCGCTCGGAGGGCAGGGCCAGGACGGCTGCCAGGGGCTGCTGGGCAGATGCTCCTAGGTCCACACCTGTGCCCACAGACACCTCAACTCACGCCTGTACACACAGACCTGGGGCTCATGGACAGCCGGCCCCTCGCTCACACCTGTGCACAGACAGCCCCACGCTCACACCTGTGCACAGACAGCCCCACTCACACCTGTGCACAGACAGCCCCACGCTCACACCTGTGCACAGACCGCCCCACGCTCACACCTGTGCACAGACAGACCGCCCCACTCACACCTGTGCACAGACAGCCCCACGCTCACACCTGTACACAGACAGACCGCCCCACTCACACCTGTGCACAGACTGCCCCATGCTCACACCTGCACAGACAGCCGGTCCCACTCACCCCATGTTCACACCTGCTCAGATGGCCTGCCCCATGTTCACACCTGTGCACAGACAGCCTGACCCACCCTCACATCTGTGCACACACAGCCCTCCGTGCACAGGGCTGACCTCTATCTACCAGGACCAGCTTCTACCAGGAAGGGTGGCCTCTACTGCAGGGCTGGCCACTGCCAGGAGGCTCCTTCAGGCCAGACATCTGACTCTCCAAACAGAGAAATCAGGAAGCCGTCCTCGGCTTCGGTGACCGGCAGCACCGTGCAGACTGCACTCTGGGTTCTCAGAACGAATAAACTGAGCCGTGTCCGAGGACTCACGTCTGAAGCACCTGACGGCCAGGCCCTGCCTGGGAGAAGGCAGCCCCGAGCCCTTGGTATCCTCATGCCCAGGCCCCTGAAAGCTGCCCACTCATGCGATAAAGTCATGTGATAACAAACAACTTACCCTGAGTTTTGGGTTTTTCAGACTAGAAAAATAGTTTTCAAGCTAAACAGGAGAAACAGATGGAAAATGCAATGAGAAATCAATCCTCAAACCCATCAGAACAAAATCAACAGCTGACTGGACAGAGCTGCGTGGCCCCAGGCTGGGCGTCAGAGCCGTGCGGCAGTGCAGTCCCACGAGCGCTCCCTGCCCTGGTGGCCACGCACAGGTACAGGCAGGGCTGCCCAGCACGCGACTTCAGAACGCAGCTCCACTTCCAGGGGAAGGGCCCGAGCTCATGACAGGGCCACCTCAGTGACCCACGGCAGGGAGGGCAGCGCTGTGAGAGCCACTGCACAGGAGGACCAGGGGCCAGCACCCTAGGCACCCCTGCATCATGTGTGTACCTCAGCCCACTATCCTGCTCCCTCACACACGTGTGTTCACACGAGGACCCGTCTCACACACGTGTGCATGCATGGCTCCCCCCACTCCTGCATGTGTGGGCGCATGTGGACCCCTGACCCGTACACGTGTGCACCACAGCAGCCCCCCACTCCTCACGTGTGCGCACGTGGACCCCCGACCCACACACGTGTGCACCACAGCAGCCCCCCACTCCTCACGTGTGTGCGCACGTGGACCCCCGACCC